CATAACAAATTGTTCTCTGAAGCTATAAAATTATCTATTTGATATATCATTTCCTAATTATAGAAGAATCAGTTATGTTTGGAACAAATAGGAGAGTTTGCTATTGCGGCTCTTGGGAATCAATAGGATATGTCCTCCTAAATTATGTATTTGATACTGTCTTATCATCACTTTTTTGCTTGTCCATTCAGGCAAGTGTGTGTGTGTGTGTGTGTGTGTGTGTGGTGTGTGTGGCTAAATTTTGTGCATCAGAACAAAGCAGGTTTCCCTAATTTCTTTTAACTGTGAAGCTCAAATAAATTTGTTATTTTAGATTGCCATTATTTTATGCTAATTAATGTCACCTTGAGTATACATGTATACGTGTTTTTGATCTGATCATTGACCAAAGGAAGATGATAATGATCTGGAAGAATGTCCATTCACCTGGAGCACAGGTGACAAGGAGATGAAAGCAACCTTGTTGGAAAAGTTTGCTAAGAAATTGCCTCCCATTACACTTTTTTTGCCTCAGCAGATGGCAACTGCTGGCTGACCTTGATCACAGCAGAAGAAGCGGAAGAGTATGCCGGATTAATACGTGGAAGGGAGACCTCTAGGAAATAACAGCTCTGTACTTCTGACCGGGAGGTGCAAAACACTTGGAAAAAGGCTGGGGCGTACTGCCTTCTTCCATGCTGTAACTAAGAAAAATGGATGGCCGTGTCTACAAGTCAGCAGTTCCATTCAAAGCAGACCGTACGTCACAGTGGCTTTGCTGTTGGAGATGTGCAGTCAGAAAAGGGTGTTGAATTCTAGGGCCAGGATACTCCTGATGCAAGGTAGCCTGTCTTATTAGCTGATCGTGCTTTTTTCCAAGTTGTGAAATGCTGTACCTTCTGATTTTTGCAGATCACACTATTGTGAAGTGCTATACTTGCACAGGAAAGAAAAAATCCATGTGGAGTCCTTGGTGTTCTCTGAGCTTGGTTGTTTGGTTGCAGACATTTAATTAATGAAACAGGGTAATTTAACATCTGTAAGCAAACAACCAAGCTCAGAGAGCATCAAGGACTCCAAAGTTCAATAGAGCACATATAGTCTCTATTAGAAAAAATCCACTTCATTTTCTTTTTTCTGATCAGCAATCCTATTTATAAATGAGTAACATGAGTGTTCTTTATTATATGCTAGTAGCTTGCTTGCCTCTTATAGCATGCTACATTTTACTTATAGTGGAGCATTGGTGATTATTTATAGTGAAGAGCATTGATTGTTGTGCCTATCTAGGACTCGACAAAAAGAAGAAAAGAAGCGTGGAAAGCCACTGTTTTGCACAGAATCATAGCACCGAAGTGATGTCAAATGGTGAATGAAAGTGACCTGTTTATGTGCTGCAAATCAGATTAATTTATTCTTTATATGTTGTATGTGCATGCTTATGCTGCTTAATGAGAAGAAACATAGATTGCATTTGATTATTTGCAGGAAGTGTGTGCATTTATTCTTCTCTTGATCTTTCCAGCTGCTTCAAGGCAACCAGTCCTTTCCTTTCCTTTCCTTTCCTTTCCTTTCCTTTCCTTTCCTTTCCTTTCCTTTCCTTTCCTTTCCTTTCCTTTCCTTTCCTTT